TCATGAATTACATATGTATAGGTCTAGGGATGAAATACCGGTATTAATATCGGTATACCGGTATTTTTAGTTTCATATTCCGATATTTTAAGATTAATTAAGTAATTTTATAAATACCGGTAATATTTTAAAAATACCGGTTAACCGAAATACCGGTATTCAAGTCAAAATTCACATTTCTAATTTTAACGTTAGAAAATTTGCTTTTTGATTAAAATTTTTATTTTTCAAAGTTATTTTTCACTTGCCTTACATAAATACCGGTATACCGGTATTTTTCTTTTCATTTAGGTAACAAATACCGGTTTTGGACATTCCAACTTTCTACGCTAAATAATTTGTTATTTTTTTAAATCAAAATTTTGCAAATTTTTAATTTTCAAGGTCAGTTTACTTTTTAGGTGGCAATTTGCAACCACCGCACGCATATAGACAAAATTAACTACCGATGTAGATATTTGTTATCGCGACGCATCGCTGCCTATAATAAGTGCGTGCGTTGTGTGTGTGTGAAGTGTGGTTGAATGTCGACGTCCTCTCCGGTTGTCGGCCCGGGCGGGCGCGCACCGTTGTGTCCGTTGTTGTTACGTTTGTTATGTTTTCCATGCGGTCATGAGCAAATGAGCAGTCGAGTTGATAGTTCGTTGATCGGTTCGAGTTCAGACGCGCTGGGAGCGATGAACGCGCACCAGCGCCTGCCCCATCCTCCTGGGCTCTTCGTCGTCGTGGTCGTTGTGTTGTGCTGAGCTGTGCGCCAGGAAGCGGCCGGCGAAGCGGCGAAGGTCATTCGTAGCGACGCGCGCGCTAAGGAATTCCAAACGCCGGCGATAGATAAACGTAAACGTGGGAAATGTGTGCGCTCGATTTTATTGTTGCGCTGATTATCATCGATTGATAGGAATGAATATTTCAGGGGAATCACGCGTAATAGGCAGGTGACATTGAAATGTTTAAATATTGTGAAGTATTTATGGCCATGAAATTGTCAGGGAGTGGATAAGAGATAGTCAAATGACGATTTGGTTGAATTTTGCAGAGAATTGTCATCCAATCGTCATACAATCAAAAATTGACGAATTTATGAGGATTTTATGATGATTTTTTGCAGAATTTAAGCAAATCGTCAAGAAATCGTTAATGAAATCATCATATTATCGACAATTGACGATTTCATGACGATTGTGTGACGATTCCTTGAATTCTGCGGGTTTAATGACGCATAGCGCTTCATTATCGGCAAAAGGCCCTGATATTTACTTTCAAATCGCAAATTATTAATTTTTTTATTAATTAGGGGAAAGTAGCCATATTTGGACCATTTTTATATTTTTTGATTTATAGAGCCACATATAAACTGTCAATAAAAATTAAGTAGCGGAAAAGTAACTCACAAGGCTTACCAACAAAATGATATTTTTGGTTTAAGTGAAAATTATATTTATACCCCTTAAATTTCAATTTAAAAAAATTGTGTTTTTGGTCCAAATTAAGAAACCGGTTTCCTAAATTGGACCGCGCGGTTTCCTAAATTGGACCATGCTTTTTTAACGGCAATTGACACAATAGTAAATTTTAGTTTTAGCAGTAACACAAGCACATTTTGTATAAACCAAAGTGCGGCATTTCATACAGGGGATCATTTCGAAGATTTGTGCTCGTTCACAAGCTTTTCTAGGAGGTCGAAAATATGATATACGTTTTCCCTGTTAAAACCCCGGTGCCTGTCTTCGGTCCAACTTCGGCAACTTGAAGAATTTATATTTAATGATCAACGACAATCTTAATATAACACAACCTCTCAAAATTAATACTATAAATTATAGATAAATAAAGAAGCTTTCTGATGATAAAATAATAATCGGTAAAACTAACGTTTTAACGGCTTGACAGCTCTTGCACTTACGTCGTTATAATAGATTTGATAATCAATGATTCACGAAGTTGTTGTCACGACGAAAGCACGCGGCAAGTTTTAACCCAAATAGTTGCATTAATTGTTTATAAATAAGAGTAAAACAAGGGGCCAGTCAATTTTTGCATAAACTTCAACAGTCCGCGGATATCGTGGTGGTCCAACTTAGGCGCTGGTCCAAATTATGCTACCTTCCCCTACTAGCTGTTGCCCGCGACTTCGTTCCGGCAGTGTTTAATAAAAATGTAATTCGTTTTTACTCTCTTGTTCTAGACATACTCGTACTAAGAGTCAATTCTATCAATAAGATTTGCAATTTTAATTTAAAGAAATTATGCATATAAAGTTTTGTCAATAATGCACTTCAGCGCGCCATCTCGAATTCAACTATTTAACTATAACTATGATTGAATCTCAATGTCTAATTTTATTCTATAGAAAAGAGCTGTTTTGAGGATTTTCCCGGCAATTATTCGAATTTTTCTCACCTTTTAAACCTTCCCTAGACCTCCACGAATAATTCAAGACCAAGATAAGATAAATCCGTTCAGCCGTTCTCGAGTTTTAGCGAGACTAACGAACAGCAATTCATTTTTATATATATAGATTTCTTTTATTTCAATGTGTCCTTCATTTTATTTCACTTTTGAAGCTTGTTTTACATCGGTGAGCGAAAAATTATTATGTGTATTACTTGGGGAAAATGCTAGGCCAACCACATGACATATTATATGGTTTGATTGTTGCCTAATTGCGATGTGATGGAGAAGTGAAATCGAAAGTGAAAAGTGAAAAACGAATTTCACTGCTGCTGCAACCACAATTACAGCATTCCGAAATTTAGCTTTAGCGAGCTGAGTTTTCGTGCTTATTGTGTTGGGTTTTGTAAAATCTCCGGCGATGATTTTGTTGTAGGCGCGCAAAGGAAGCGAAAGAAGTACAAGCACGAGAAATTGAGGAAGCAAAGAGCGGCGGCAGCACGCGCGCGCATTGTGAAAAGATTTCACTTTCGTTTCACGCGAGATTTTACAATTTACAATTTCACCGCGTGTGCGCACCATAAATGTGTAGATTTAAAAACGTTTTGTTAACAAGACCTGATGAGAGCAATAAAATACAATAGTGGAGATTTTAGGTTAAAAAAATAGGTATAGGCAACTTTATGTGCAATATTTTGTTAGTTTTTTAAGAATTACAAGAAAACGGTAAGAGTTAGAATCAAAATTCTTTCAGAAATCGATTTAGCATAAAATTTTACATTAATAATGAGAAATTTAAACAAATTGTAGTTTTATTTACAAAGTTATTAACAATTTAGTAATTTTTCACGGTTTTAAGGTTTTTAGTAAGTAAATAATTAAGTACAGCTTAAATTTTAACTTGAACATTAGAATGTAACGAGTTCATTGCCAGCAATATTGATTATGATTACTTTATCACTAATTTAAGCTCTAGTACTTACTTAATATTAATCCTATTATCACTGTTTTCAATGTCAACACGTAATACAAATATTAAACTAGTATTTTCTTAGATTTTTTCTTTTCTGTGCGTTTTCAGCAAATAATAAAAAAAAACACGTAATTATCACATTACATATATTTACTTTTCTAAATTTAAATGTTTCAATGACTAATGTTAAAATTTAAACAGTCGTCCTTGATTTTCATCACTTTTACACCTCTCCAAATGATATTTTTAACATTTTTACTTTTTGGCATCTGCTTACTCGTACATACGAGTAAAAAAAAACCGTTGCGTAATTCTGCTAATTAGTGACATGTGCACGGTGCACCGTGCGCACATGTTGCACTTTCGATCCGACAACAAACAAAACACGTTGTTAAAACGCTGTAACATGCATGCACAACCAACATGCAACACACGCGTTCGTGTAAAGCATGCATCTAGCAGCTTGCAACTTTGGTTGCCTAGCGGTCCGGCGTAATTATATTTCGCACGCGTAACGTGCACGTTGGGTTGCTGCCCTTGCTGGTATTCAGCTAGTGTCAACAATCTTGGACGACTTTGAACCCGAACGACCGATCTAAGAATGGAACTAACGCTTTGCTATGGTGATGTGCGTCTATGATATAAATGTCTATATGTATGTGTTTTATTTACCGAATGAATTCAATTCACAATTCACTATTCACCAATGGATTTACTGTTATTTATGCGCGGTATTAATTGAATTTGTATTGGTATGGTATGGAACAAAAGTTAGGTTAGGTTTTGTTTTGTTTGTTGGAATTTTTCTTATCGTTTGTGTTTGAGTATCGTGTTTGTCGTTTTGAATTTCCTATCCTACCGCAAGAGAACTAATTAAATTAATCTTTTTAATGCGGTTTGTGTTTCGTTTCGAGTTGATATAATATTGTGTGTTGGGGCAAGAAAAATTCGAAAATACTTCAAGGACACGCCGCACACGCAGGAAAATAATAGATTACCGTGTGCTGAGCGCGGTCATTGGACGCTTCGGGTCTATGACACTACGTCCACCATTACTCTTCTTATTCACACACTTACATTCACATATGTTGTAAATGTTTTATTTTTGATTTTATGTTTAGTTTAAAACACGCTGTATGTGTCTTTTGAGGTTATTCCCATTTAATTTGAGGCCAATTCTTATCCGTTTGCGGTGTTTGCTCATTTCTTTGAATACATTTGTCGATTAAAATAGTTTCCGTTGGTCTGATTTAAATTTAACTATGGCTGAGTTGTACTTGTGCATGGTTGGCAACCCAATATACACGCAATGTACAGATTGATTGAGGCTTGACAGATTTTGTGTTGCTGGGCAATTTTCGACGTCCACCTTGAATATCGCTCGATGTGACGTAATGTTATGAGTGTTTGCAAACGAAATTAACGCCAAGGACCTTGGCGTCTCGCGCAAGCACAAATATTTCCATCAGTCTATTTATTTTTATTGTTGCATACTTCATTACTTACTTGAGTGCTGTCAAATGTGTAGCAGTTGATGCTAGGCAACCAGTTGTACACGTTTAAGATTTTTTGTTCTGTGTGTGCGTGTTATGTTTTCGCTGGAAAATTTGCTAATAACTTGCGTTTTTCGTTGCAGGCTGCCGGTGGTGAGTGACTGCTCGACCGCTCAGACGGCCCGAGTTAGTTCCAACCTGCATTCGACGAGCAGCATGGCAGTGAGCCGCGTGCCGAGCCCACCGCCGCAAGAAGTCAACACGCCCGTCGCCGAAAATTGGTGTTACACTCAGGTAATATCTTAAAACATCCCCTTTTAATCATTATTCCCCACAAAATTTTTGTTTTCTTTAAAAATGTCGTCTTTACTGTGTCTTTGAATGTACAGCGCTGTCAAAAGATTTAAACTTTGCGCTGTAGGCGATCGCAGCGCCGCCGCTCCATATTTCGGTACTAACAGTTTTTGTTTTTCGCCAATCAACAACCAACGAAAGATTTCGTTTGAAATTCATCCTCAAAATTCATCAATTACACAAATTCCGGCGACAAAATGTCCCTGTTTAATATAGTGACGGATATTCTCACGTGGTTGAAGGCGAATTCACCGCCTACCAAACTTCAACGAAGAATCGTAGCTGTAAGTCATTAAATTCATCGCGTCAAAATTACAAAAGTGTTAAGACGACATTGCATTTTCATTGCACTGACACCGCCATTTTGGCAAATTGCGTTTCTTGTCTTGTCTCAGTGTCAAACGAACTTGTCGTTTGTAAAATACATATCATTACTGCGCTATCATGAGTTATTATTGTTCGATTCCCCGAATGTCGGTGGTGCGCTTCAGCGCGTTTCATACCAACTTTCAAACAACTGTAATCATTTTTATCCTGAAAATATAAAATCAACATGGCCGCTAATTTAAATCAATTGTTTGCAGGTTAAAGTAGTCAAGTTCAGTTACATGTGGACCATCAACAACTTCAGCTTCTGTCGCGAGGAGATGGGCGAGGTACTCAAGTCGTCGACGTTTTCGGCCGGCGCGAATGACAAATTAAAGTGGTGCGTAGCAAAACTTAAAAACAATTGATCCAAGATTCAGATTAAATTTATTATTGATGATTTTAGGTGTTTGCGGGTGAATCCAAAGGGTCTGGATGAAGAGAGCAAGGATTACCTCTCGCTGTATCTGCTGCTGGTCTCTTGCAACAAGAGCGAGGTGCGCGCGAAATTCAAGTTCAGTATATTGAACGCCAAGCGCGAAGAGACGAAGGCGATGGAGAGCCAGCGCGCGTATCGCTTTGTCCAGGGCAAGGACTGGGGATTCAAGAAGTTCATCAGGCGTGATTTCCTCCTCGATGAGGCGAACGGTCTCCTGCCCGATGACAAATTAACTATTTTCTGTGAAGTAAGTATCCACTGCTGCATTCAGCGTGTGTTTACATAACGTTTACATAATTAAAATTAATTAAATTTGCACGTTTTTATTGAAAATCACGTTGTTACACGTGCGGAATGAACGTGCGCGCAGTTCTTGAACTTTAACTTCTCAACTTTTCGCGATTTTAAATGATTTATATGTGGTTTTAGGTAGAGTTTGTTTTGTACGCGTCGGCCATCTTTGAAAAGCGATAAAAATCACGTTTATGACGCGTGTAGTTTATTAAAATGGCGGCGGTGTACGTATTCGCTAATTATTCGCGAGAGAACAACGCGGACAACAGCATTCGTACGAATGAAATGAAACAATTATATAATGCTAATGCGCCGCTGACCTAAATGTCACGATTAAATGGGACGGCGCGGCGTGTATTCAATGTTGTGTGAAATTACTCTTTATTCTTTTATACGAGCGCTCGCACACAAAGCAAGAAAAAGAAACAATCAAAGGGTAAACAACTTAATCAAATCAAGAAAGAATCCAACATCATGGCTATTAACGTGTGACCTCAATAATAAAAAACAATTCGAACGATTTCGATTTTAAAACCGAAAAATTTTCAAATATTTTCATATACATATTATTATATCGTTGTGTACGCGTGTCATTACATGCGCTGTACTTGTTGAGGGACGTGTGTAATTTAGCGTGAAGCTTAAACCGATTAATCTCGATGACGAAACGCACCGTTTCCAAACGCGAAGACATTTGGCGCTGCGCATGCACAATTGTTGTAATTACGCGCAACGTAATGATTGGTTCGTATGACTTTTGGCTTATCTCATTGACTAATCCGACTAATCTACAAAGCTGCGATTATTAGTTATTAGTTGTGGTGTTTTTTTTTTATTTCGCTGCGCGTTTTTTCGCTCTCGTTGAGTGTAATTTATGAATGTGCGAATGACTTTGAACACTTTGAGTGTGTGTTATCGTATTATTACATTGGTACATTCGCGGCGTGTGCTGGGAATTGATTTTTCAAGGCGATAGCGTTACACATGCACACGCGGAAATTGTGGCTGCTAAACGTTATTTAAATATATTAAATGATTTTGTGTGTGAATTCAAGGGCAGTTACATTTGTGACCTTTTGTTACATGAATTCATTTGATAATTTATCATTTTTAAGTGTTTTTCGAGGGTTTTTGTTGTAAATTTGTAGAAGAATAGGTTTTTAGGATGTAATATTGAATGGTTTTGGAGATATTGTTGTTTTAACATGTTTAACATGTGAAAATTGATTTCAAAATCATTTTTTTCATCATTTTAAGCGATTTTGAGACAGATTTCAAGGAAATTTGCATTTGTGACCTTTGTTTGCACATTATTCTTTGGTTTTACTTGCAAATTGTCAAAAATAGGTTTTTACGATGAAATATCTAATGTTTTTGGAGATATTACACTTTAAATCATGTTAAACTTGTGAAATTTGCTTAAAAATCATTATTTAAACAATTTTTAGACAAATTTCAAGGATATTTCCATTTCTATCCCTTGAATTTTTATTTTTTCTTTGTTTTTCTTTGCAAATTATAAAAAAAAATAGTTTATTAAGAGGTAATATTGAATATTTTTAACTTATTGCAGTTTTAAACATGTTAACATGTGTAATTTGATTTCAAAAACGTTTTTTTTCAACATTTTAAATAATTTTTAGATAGATTTCAAGGAAATTTGCATTTGTGACCTTTGGTTGCAAATTTTTCTGCAGTTTTTCTTGTAAATTGTTAAAAAAAATAGGTTTTTACGATGAAATATTGAATGTTTTTTGAGATATTATACATTAAAACATGTTAAATTTGTGAAATTTGCTTAAAAATCGTTATTTAAACAATTTTTAGACAAATTTCAAGGATATTTACATTTGTAACCTTTAAATATTGATTTATTTTTTAGTTTTTCTTTGCAAATTATTAAAAAATACATTTTTAAAGTGTAATACTCAATATTTTTAAATTATTGCAGTTTAAATCATGTTAAACATGTGTAATTTGCTTAAAAAACACTCAAGGTAACTGTTTCTGTAACTCTTGGAGTTTGTAACAATGGTCTGGATTCGGTTCGGGGTCAGCACACATAATTACATGGTGTAATCTTGGCTCCCAATTGAAATCGACTCGAATTTTGTTGTTCTGCTGTGCGCTCGCGCGCTTGTGTGAAATTTGCTAATTTAATCATGTGTTTTTGCGCTGTGCGCTGTGTTCGCAGGTTAGCGTAGTAGCCGATAGCGTAAACATTTCTGGCCAGTCGAATACAGTTCAATTCAAGGTTCCTGAGTGCCGGCTCTCCGACGACCTGGGCATGCTCTTTGAAAACCAAAAGTTCAGCGACGTGACGCTCTCGGTGTCGGGGCGCGAGTTTCAAGCACACAAGTCAATATTAGCAGGTAATACACATAACATAATATTCCATGATAATTAAATAAATAAATTAATATTAAACTAATTTTTAGCGAGAAGTCCAGTATTCCAAGCAATGTTTGAGCACGAAATGGAGGAACGCAAACACAATCGGGTGGATATCACCGATGTGGATCATGAGGTGTTGCGTGAGATGCTGCGCTTTATCTACACGGGCAAAGCGTCGAATTTGGAGAAAATGGCGGATGATTTACTCGCTGCCGCCGATAAAGTATGAATCTTTTTGTTTCTCTGTTGAAATTTGTTTTTAATGAATATTTTGTTGTAGTACGCATTGGAGCGACTCAAAGTCATGTGTGAAGAGGCGCTCTGCACAAATTTATCGATAGAAAACGCCGCTGAGATTCTCATCCTCGCGGACCTCCATAGCGCCGATCAACTCAAGGCGCAAGCCATAGATTTCATCAATACGTAAGTTATTTTATTTCAATTAAAAAATTTACATTTTTTATGTTATTGATTTGATTTTTTGTTGTTTAGACATGCAACGGACGTGATGGACACACCCGGCTGGAAGTCGATGATCCAAACCCACCCGCACCTCATCGCCGAAGCGTTTCGCGCGCTCGCAACGCAGCAGATCCCGCCGATAGGGCCGCCGCGCAAGCGCGTCAAGCAGAGCTGAAGCGCGCCGAGTTAAACCAGAGTGCCAGAGACTGCTTAAAACTTACATGTGTTCATACCAAGACACTCTCGACAGTGATTTCGAATTCTACTCTTCGTCGACCTTCAACAAACCCCCCCACCCTCTACCCCAAAACCCTACTAGCCCCTCGTCATCATCTACCCTTCTAATATATTGCATACAACTACAAAATCACCCGCAAAATCCCCAATTTGATTCTTGTTTTGTTTGATTATTGTTGTTGTTTCCTCTAAAAACGCAACTCAGGGTCGACTTGAGTGGCTCTCCTCCGCTCCTACTCCCATCTCGTGTGTGGTTGAAAAAGAAAAACAAAAGAAGATGGCGCAACGCTCAAAACAAACATAACCTTTAAACACACTACACATGCTTACACACAAAAACACACATACACAGAAACACTTACACACAAATGAGGGATGATTGATTCTTTTCTTTCTTTTTTTTAACAAGATAAACAGAATTGTGATATAAACGACCACAGCTTGTTCCTATTCGAGGGACTCCACATCCTCTATTTTACGTTTAAGTTTAGCTTATCTATGATAAATATATACATATATATATATATAGATAGAAATTACAATTACTAATAATGATCTCTCTGAATAAGCTAAGGTCAATGTTTTGCATATTTTTATTTTTTCTGTGTTTGAGCGAGATGAGGTAGACGGAGAGAAATGCGAAAAATGGCGACTATGTAAAACACACACACTCATACATAACCTATACACACATGATACACACCGGCATCAATTTTTACTCACGGGGAACACATGTAAAGAAGAAGGAAAAATCTCAGAAGTTTGATTCAAATTTTTAAGTTGGTTAAGTTGTAAAGTCGTATACGGGTCTCTTGTGTACACACCATGTATAGTAATCGTTTTTGTGTTCTCTCGTGCACACATTCACCAATTTGTGGAGATGAATTGTACATAGTTTCTTGGTGAGATTTGAAAAAACAGAGAAAAACAAGTGGGAAAAAAAAGCCACAATTAATCGGGCGTCTAGTAAATAACATTAATCGCAATCATTGAATTTGTAACAAATTGTGAAACAAAGAATACCAAAATACCAGTTTTAGACGATTTCGTTTTCTTCGTTTGGATCATTTTTTGTATTGTAAGTGTTAGGTCATTATAAGTATTAAATACATATCTGTTGGAATTTATGATTGCGCACGCGCGGCGCGCGTCTATTACGACCCGAGGTATTTGTGTTTCGTTCTCTTCGATTTTGCTACCGATTTCTGCTCTCGTGTATTATTACGATTAAAATGCGCTGTTAATATAATTATAGACATTGGACGAGTGAAGGTTCACGATTTTTACCACCAAAACACGTGTTTCCCTGAGTTTTTAATCAATTTTAAGCTGGGGAAAGTTATTCCTGCTGATGGTATTGCCGAGGTGTATATTGGGTTGCCTATAGTGTTTCAGCAGGAGAAAAATATAAAAGTAGTGAGTGTTTTGTGTCACACAAGTTTTTAAGTTGTTTTAAACGTGAAATTTAGTGTTTAACCGAGGTATAAACATTAATTTAATTGTTTTAGTGTTAAAATTAGTTTTATTACGTGGTTTGGGTTTTGATTGTGGAGTTTTTGTTTGTTTTTAACGATATTATGCCGAATTTGTTTTATTATTGTTGATTATTAGTAGAATTATCGCCATTTTGTGTGTTAGATTTGTATAAATGGTTTGTTTGAGGAATATTGAGTTGGTTTTGGATGTATAGCTGCGTGGATTTTAAATGTCGGATCTTTAGGGCGGGCGGGCTGGTTGGTATCGGCCGCCTTCCGGTCATGCGCGCGGCGCGTCCTCGAGCCAGCGGCAGCAGCGCCATATTGAGAATAGGCGGTTGCTCCGTACAGTAGCGTAGCCGACGAGCGAGCCGACACCGAGAGTGCCCAGCAGCGGAATCGCCCCGTCGCCGTCGCCATCGCGTTAGTGCCCCCCGAGTGCGTGTGCGTGCGGTAATGGCCGGCGAGTGGCGCGTCTGAGACAAGCCGCAGCAGCAAGCAGCCGCAGCGTGTGCCGCCGTGCCATCCACCTGCCCCGCATCCCGGTGCGCCGCGCGCGCGCCCGCGCCTCTCTGTGTGTGTGAGTGCGAGTGCGTGAAGAGAGCGGCGAGCGACCGCCGGCGATGCGCTGAGCCGCCCTGCGACTGGGGCTACTGCTGCGGGGCTTCACCGGCGCAATCCAGTTTGGCGTAATGCGATTATAGGCCCGTGTGGTGTGCGTGTACGACGCGAGCCGAGGGCGCAGAGGATGCACCACACCCCAGCGAGCGCCGCCGTCGTCGTCGCCGCCGCCGCCGTCGCCGCGCACTAGCGCCGCGTCCGTCCCGCTTCCGCATCGCCTCTGCCCACCGACAGCCCGGCGTGGATGCCAGCGGCTACGAGCGCCACTTCGGCACAGTCGCTCCCACTAAGCTATGACCATGTCCTGCTGTCAGTCAGATGAGGTGCGGGAACAGAAGCGTATCAACCAGGAGATCGAGCGCCAGCTCAAGCGCGACAAGCGCGATGCTCGCCGCGAGCTCAAACTTCTTCTGCTTGGTGAGTATAACACAACCCGAAAAAATCCGCTGAAGAGAAGAAAAAACGCACTTCATTTGTTTGTTTGTGATGTTGTCCGGTGTGTTGCATACATCGCGGGGCCGTAATCGAATTACACTACACGTAACGTGGGCATGGGGCATCATATCACAAAATGCAATTAGATTAAGTTATTTAAGCACTTTAACTTATGAAACCTAAGGCTTCATAAATAAGTCTTCCTTCTCCTGTATGTGCACATGTATTGATTCAATTTGCCTAATTGCATTCAAACAATCAATTTATTTCATTTTAGATTATATAAAATTTAAAATAACAAATTTTTGTTTTTTGTTTTGCAACAGGCACTGGTGAATCCGGCAAGTCGACGTTCATCAAGCAGATGCGCATCATCCATGGCGCGGGCTATTCGGACGACGACAAGCGCGGCTTCATCAAGCTCGTCTATCAGAACATATTCATGGCTATGCAGAGCATGATACGCGCTATGGACTTACTTAAGATTAAATATTGCCAGCAGAGTAATGTGGTATGTATGCAACCAATTATACAAAACATCAATATTACCATCTATCGAATGTTTACTAGAGTAAAATTGTGGTTATAATCATTTTTATGTATATGAACAGGACAAAGCTGATTTAGTCCGCGGCGTTGACTTCGAAACGGTGACGACGTTCGAGTCACCCTATGTCGATGCCATCAAGGACCTCTGGAACGATTCGGGCATTCAGGAGTGCTACGACCGCCGAAGAGAATATCAGCTTACAGACTCTGCCAAATAGTATGTGTATTTCTATTCTCAAAAAATAAAATATTAATTTTTGTGTGAATTTGCAGCTATCTGTCGGATCTGGAGAGAATACGAGCGTCGGATTACTTGCCGACGGAGCAGGACATCCTTCGCGCTCGAGCGCCGACGACGGGCATCATCGAGTACCCGTTCGATCTAGACTCCATCATATTTCGGTCAGTATCAATAAAAAAAATCAAAAAAATTAAAAATTTAATTGTTTTTATTATTTAGAATGGTGGATGTCGGCGGGCAGCGATCCGAGAGAAGGAAATGGATCCACTGTTTCGAAAACGTCACTTCCATCATTTTCCTCGTCGCTTTAAGTGAATATGACCAAATTTTATTCGAGTCCGAAAACGAGGCAAGTATTACCCACATTTATCACACATAATTCACTTAAATTCATTGTTTTAATTTGTTTTTTGATGTTTTAGAACCGTATGGAAGAATCGAAGGCTCTATTCAAGACGATCATCACATACCCGTGGTTTCAGCACTCTTCGGTCATCCTTTTCTTGAACAAAAAAGACTTACTGGAGGAGAAGATCATGTATTCGCATTTGGTTGACTACTTTCCTGAATATGATGGTAAGAAACACAAAAATCATCAATTTAGGTTATTTTAAGTTAAATTTAATAAATTTAAATGTTTATCAACAAAGGACCTAAGCAGGATCACGTGCAAGCGCGTGAATTCGTCTGTAAGAAGTACTTGCGCGAGAATCCCGACCCGGAGCGCGCATGTTACTCGCATTTTACAACTGCGACAGGTCGAAATCATTTCTTAGGCTAGAAATTAATATCACGCTAGTTTTATTTAAAAATACTTGTATTTTGGACTTGTAGTTGCTAGTGTAATGCAATTTGGCTATTTTTATTACAATTCAAGGTCCGCAAAGAGACGCCATCGCTGCTAGAGAACACATTTTGCGGATGTTCGTAGACTTGAACCCCGACAGCGAAAAAATCATATACTCACACTTCACATGCGCTACAGGTATCTATCAAATCATTAAATACTTCCTATTATCTCTGCGAATGCTTTACTTTTACTTGCTTTCTCTTAAATTTACTGATTTTATGAAAATTTGCTTTATTTTATTCAATGTTTGCATGTCTTGCATGGGGATGATGTTTCTGCGTGATTATTTCTCTCAACACAGATACGGAGAATATTAAACTCGTGTTCTGCGCCGTCAAGGATACGATCATGCAGAGTGCCTTGAAAGAGTTTAATTTAGCTTAAAATATTGTTAAAAAAAAAGAAGATAATAGTGGCTTGCATAGTTTCATGTAGAAAAAGTGGGGTTATGCGCGAAGATAGTTGGGTTGCCTATATTCTCACTTTTTCTGCATACAAGTTAAATGCGATTAATACAACGCATGTGTTTCTAACCTATAATTCTCTAACTAAATTTTTGTTTGGTGTTTAATAAATGTTTGCGACGCTTTGAATCTTTTTAAACATTTTTCTTTTAACTTCTTCTCGGAATGCCATTTTTATTTCAGCACATAGAGGTGCAGGTAATCTCTTTGTGTAAAACATTTGAAATCAGAATTAATACATGTAATTCGCGAATGTTTCAGATACGGAAAACATTAAGTTCGTCTTCGCAGCGGTGAAAGACACGATATTGCAATCGAACCTGCGCGAATACAACCTGGTGTAGGAGAAGAAGACACGACGCATGCGCATCAGCAGCAGCAGCAGAAGAAAACAAAAACAAAATACGACCACCACCACCACCACCACCAATAAAACAAACAAAACAAAAACCAACCGTGTGTGCCGTACCGCGTGAGAGTGTGTGTGTGTGTGTGTGAGTGATGAGTAATAAACTAAGCGCGCGCATCAATGAGTAGTAAAATGAGGCGTGTGTCTAACACACAAAAAAAGGAATTGGAGCCATTTTACAAGTTTTAAATTTACATATTTGCAATACACACACACATATATATATATATATATATATACGGGAAAAACATATGCGTGCGGGGCGAGAATGCTTTATTGAATGGCAGAAAAAAAGCAAAATGGCGGCGATGGAGCGAATGATTGTATACAATGTGATGTTTCTAAACTTATTCATCTCTTGCAACTATATCTATGATTGTTTTCGCGATTTTTCGATTTTCGGTTGCGCATCGTACCACATACTGCATACATAATTAGTAAGTACGTAAATACGGAGAGAGAGTGAACGCAGTGCGCATGAGTGCATGTTGATGACACTTGACACACGCACATTATTTGATTCAATTGTTCATATATTCTTACTACGATCATCATCATCATCATCCGGTTGGTTGGTTTCTGTTCTCGTGTAAACGTGTGCGCTTAGCTTTAGTGAAAAACTGCTGTTTGGAAGTAATTCTAGTGCCATTTTACTAGTACGGTGTCTCTACAAATAATTACGATATAAACTACTGCAAGAAGATGATGTGGACGATGGAGGGGGGGGAAATGATGGTAAATCACGCGCGTACGCAAAAACCAGGCAGAAACGGAACACATTTTATTATCTTAACTATATCGAAATGCCAAAGTGTTTTTTAAAAACAAAAAACGATTGCATGTAATACCAGAAGCAGGCAACCAGACATACATACACTGTGCGGGGACATGATGGATTGATTTTTCACACACCACAGCGCGATTTGAATACAAATGAAAACCAAAACTATTGAAATACACTTTATTAAGGGATATACTTATACAAAACTAAAACTTGGGGAGAACTTGGGCAAAACGTCATTGTTTGCGTTTGCGGAGACATTTCACACTCACACAAACAAGAGAAAACAAACTTTCGATGAGAAAAACATGCATAAATCCTGACTATAAAAAATTACGATATAAATAGTATTGTTATTTATAATAATATAAATTAATGTAGAATAGCGTTAAGAGTGACGATGGTGTGTGGCGGTGAGACGAAATGTGCGCATTCTTTTTGCAATTATACGTATATTCATACATAATATACACACGGCGAGAGAGGGCGGCGAAACGAACCAAACTAGACGAGAGACACACACATAAATGGATGTAAAACACACACACGACGCCATTTTGATTACGATTTTTGACAGATTTCGACAGCAGACAAAAACAGCAGCAGCAGCAAACTATTTGCGAGTTTTACGTTTCGACTTTTACGTTTGTTTGTCGCTAGGGTATAAATAATTAACAGATTGTGAAAACAAAACAAAAAAAAAGTAACAAAAACACAACACACACGGGTGCGAATGGTTCTGTTTAATTATAATTTATGTACGTACGCATTTATACATATTCTATAAAGTGAAAAATTAACGAAAAAAAAAAAGATTCTTCCCAAAAACTAACAACAACTGATTTTTTGCGATTATTTATTTCATTATTTTATACTAGCGCATATTATGTTATAGTTTTTAAAACAAGAGAAAACAATCTTATTCTATCTTTATATTATGTAAACGTAAACATAAAACAACTAAAAATATTATCTATAAGTGGAGCGTGCAGATATGAGGAAAAGATGCGACAGTTTTTCTTCTCTTTTTTTTTTGTAAGTGTCGTGTTCTTTGGCTTGAAATTTTGATTGTAAATTTTTAAACACTTTTTAAACGTGACGAGGCAGTTTGAAAGCTCAATGGAAACAAACATGCAGAGGAAAAACGCCCTTTTTTCTTGTGATTCAATATTTTATTTTGTTTTTTAATTTGTTTTTATGATTATTTAATTTAATTCAGTTTTGAGAGAGGGAGCGGAGCGGAGAGGTAGCAGTACTACGTGAGAGAAATGATAAAATTATATTTTGTTGTTTATTATTGAATATATTATGTTATAAAATATTATTTGACACACACAGACACACTTATGTACTACGCAAACGTTAATGTTATATTTGTTTTTTTAGTAGTTTTTATTGTATGTTTTATTTTTGTGCGGTGTGTTTAAGTTTAAAAATCAATGATCATGTAATGGCTGCCATGGTGGAGTTAATGTGCATGCGCAGAACACGCCCAGACTGAATCAGCGATGAATGGTACCCGGAACGCTCTATAGATGTCGCAGTAGATTCCAGTCGAAGTAACGCTGTCATTCCCCTACATTCTTCAATCGACAGTCGGTGGTGCTGGAGTGCGCAACGTGTGCGGATCTATTCGACACCCAGATTTGTGCGTTAGTGTGCAGACATCTTTCAGCAGGATAAATGTGAGTACTAGTATTAATCCTACCAATTTTAATTGATTAATTTACTAAACTAGGCAAATTGTGCGACGTAAAAAACATGGCGTATGTTATCTAGTGTTGTTTATTTATACTGAAACAAATGAATAACGCTGAGGTAATACTAGTGTAAGTTGCATATTGCAGCTCTCTTCCCTTGTCGCCATGCAGGAAAACCGGGACAAGTGAGCTTGTGTGCCGGGGTCGCACGTGCCACACGTGTTTCCAACCAAGCGTTCACTCCGGTGTCCTACTGTTCTAGAAATATTCGCCCGGAAGCGACGCGTAATACCTACTTGTTTTCATTTCGTGGTTATGTCATTGATTTTATTCTTTTATCATTTTATCGAAGTTGAAACAAAGTTAAACTTTCGAATTCACTTTCAATTTCATTGCAAGTGAACAAAACAAATAATAATTACATGTAAAAACAAACATACTCGTAGAATTTTAAATAATTGTTGCTCGTGTTGTACGACTGGCAATAAAAAACGTGTAAAGCAAGTTTATTTTCGTGTCGTGCTATATAAAGTACTAATTAATTGTCGTTATGATCGTAATGATAGAGATTACAAATTAAAATTGAATTCATGTCCCGATGTCACGTGTCAATGATCAATTATTCATAATTTGAATTTGAATCACGCGACTTACAGATTAATTATTTTGAAATTTGTTTTGTTTTGTTGTGATGATTCTGTTGCTACCTGTTAAATTATTTGGTAAATATTCAGAATTAAACCGGATTGAACTGGTTTATCATTTTCTTACGCTCAAAAATTTATAAATTATTCATGAGTGATTAAAACTTGCAGTGGAAAACTTGTTTCGATTAAAGTTTTTCTATAGAAACTGTTTTCTTTTTTGAGGTCAAGTGTTACTAGGTTGCATTGAATGAAGTGGTGCAAGTTCAAGGGTAGTTTTTTGTTTTTCTTCCATCATGGAAATAAATATCAATATAATGACTTGTTTTTCATTGCAAGTTCAAGTACACTTCTTGTTATGAAACGCAAAGTCCACGATCGTCATTTTATTGTATTTAAATTTTCTATGTAAAATTAATAACGAGAACATGTTTACAAGCAGAATAAATATAAATAATTCTAGTGCACTTTACACGCCGCCGCTGACTGGGAATAAATGTTTGATAAACAAATATTTGTCGACTGTTGGACGCCTAATCAATTCTTGATTTAACCTACATTACATACAAAACGCACAAAACAACAAAACGCCAACACTTTCATATCATTTTGATATCTTTATCTCTACAGGAGATAAATGTAGATTGAAAATATCTTGTTGCGTTATATTTTTTATCTGTGTATTTAAATTTCTTTGCCAAGTTTTCGATGACGACAGCGATTATTATAAGCGCGTCTAGCATTGCTTTGTGTCGTGATTTCGCTTTTGTACTCGGTGTAATAAACGTAGCGAATCACATGTTTCGAGGCATTGAATTTCGCAATGTTTATTTTTTATTTTTCGCTTTCTAACGTGACTTTCAGAGCGGCACTACGCCAACCGCCATTAAATTATGTACACAAATAGCGTTTTTAGCCATTAAATATTTAATTAGTTACATAAATCACGCAAATTTTGAGATAAATATTTGTTAAATTGCCAATATTATTGTTATCTTTTTATTATAAACAAAAGATAACTAAAAATCAATTAAAATTCAAAAGAAAAGGAAGAATGGAAGCAAAAGAGTTGCCAGTACCCGCAAAAAGTGGTGGGGGTAAGCTGCAGTTACGCATTTTTATCTTCGCGCGCGAAAATACCTGCAAAACTCGGTAAAAATTGAGGATTTATGGTCACCTTTTGATCCCCTTGCCCTGTCAAACCATTCCAATCACCCCAAGTGCTCCCTACTTATCAATAATTGCAAATTCAAAGTCTGCATGTGGTCTGACTCCTTTATTATCATCACGCTTGGCTCGTAAAATGTGTTTTGTTCGGTTATCAAACCAAATTTCACCATTTCCAGCCGATAAAATTACGTGTCTGATAAGGGGAGTTCAAGAGTGCCGCCGTAAAATTCACAAAAAAATGCTTACGGTCATGAAAGCAATAAAAACACAAAACATTATTGAGTATCTTCGAAAACGGCTGTTTTAACTCTCCTTGTGATTGGTTTGAAGCTAGACGTGCCCACTTTTTGCTTGCGTCACAACGTGATCTCACTAGTTAATTAAATATTTGCTTAAAACAAAAATCTTCAACCTTCGAACTGGTAGTATCGAGTTTCTTTCACTTTGCGAACGTTCTACTATTGGTCTAGCACGAGTCGTGCCTACTCAACTAATTAACATAAATGTATCTTACGTCAGCAACATAATAAATAATCGGTAGATATTATTTTCAAAGGTAAAATATAGGATATTCGATCGAGTGTGGAGTGGAGTGTTTTATTACTTCGATTAAAACCACAAAACCGCACTCATTCGGTGCGTATGAGCGGTTTTGTCTCGTTTCCACCGACTTACTCTCCTGAATCAGTAAGTCAACCAGTCTGATTGTCTGATAAACCGCGATTGTTTATTTAAAGCAGTTGCTAGCTGCGATTCCCGACGCAGTCGCGCGCCGACACGCGGAGAGGGTAATAATAGCCGACAACTTAAATGTGCAACGCATCCAATTGATAAAATAAATAAATAAATTGAATTGGTGCGCGAATTAATGCTGATTTCCGAAGGTTAACATCAAATAATAACAATAATAAAATTCCCAGCGCACACGTATCGCTAATATCCAGGTAATAGAAAATTTGCGAAGACGACAATATGATTTCGACGCGAAAATCGTAGATTTATGTTAATTAGGCGAATATTTGTTAGCGTAACTGTTTAACACATTAGCTAACATGTCATAACCGGCGTTATTTGCGTTAGTTAGATCTATTAGATGCTTTTTATCAACTTTTTATTCATTTGTTGTTTTGTTTGTGAATTTCCAGATACGATGGGACTGGTCGCACTTCATTCTGTGAGCCTTGGTCGTGTGAATATCGGCGAAGTGTTTCTCTGATAGAGTGACAAAGATCGTCCGCCAGAGGAGTACAGTACAAGAACAGTTACCAAGTAGTTACCATACTAAAATACCATTCCTATTATTTCGTAATTTTTTGGTAGTTTTTGGATTTTTTAAAAATATTTCTTAACGTGTTGTAAACAAAAATCATTGTGTTTATCATGGCTACCGAAGAGGACCGATCACTGCATTCCAGCATGTCGTTGCCGATGTGGATGAGGGGCCGGGGGCGAATGCACACAAAGTAAGTGATACTAATAAAATTATATATTCCTGTATTGTGCGAATTTAAGCAGTTTTCCTCCTCAGTTGTCACTGCTTAGGTTTCAGTTCGCGTTCGACACTCGCCGCCGTCGGTCGGTGTTTTTATTTTGAGAATCTAGAGCGCGTGTCGCGGCTCCCGCAGAGAGCAAATATCGTATGTGTGTGACTTCTGTTTTTGTTATCAGTGCGACGCGTTCGACTTTTTCAACTTTCGCGCTTATCTAAACCCAAACCGAAAATAATATTTACCATTTACCACTGGAATATTTCATTTGAAAGTATAAAATGTAAGTTGGATGAATTTGCGTTGTGCATTTTATTATTTAGATTGGCCAGGCGCGCATTATTGTCGGTCGCTGCTTAACCAGCCAAGTTCGTGTATTTATAAAAATCGTCAGGTGACCGCACAACGAGGATTTACATATATTGGCGGCGGTTCATATCTCTACGGCCATTATGCAATCGATTCATTTATTGCACGCGCACATTTCGTTGTTCATGCGAATTATAATTGATATGATTGTTGATTGATTATTGTCGGCGATGTCAAAACAGCTCGTCGAACTTGTCTCGACGTCACTGGCCGCCATTTTAAATTCTTGTCGTGGTATTCTTCTCATAATGTAATTTTCTTTAATATTTTTTTATTTTAGTGTATAATTTATTTTATTTTACAGATTAGACTTTGATCAGAGCACATTTTCACCACCGGAGAACGACGATAACTTCCTGTATATTCGTTATCCTGTGAAACAACCTCCACCTCAGCAAGACACGCAGACTATCCTGGTAAACGATCAGGGTGGTATTAAACTCGACATTTCCAAACATACAGAGCCTTGTAAAGATTATATTCTTGGAAAAACAAGTTAGTAATTTTTATTTCCTATAAAAAATCATTGTTTTATGATTATATTACTTTTAGATCCGTCAAAAGCTCAGGTTGTGAACGGTAACGGCCAGCTGAAGTCAGCTGGAACCGATGACGGCTTCAAGAGCCCTGAGGCATCAGCGTGTGGCACGTCAGTGATCAGGGTGGCGTCCCAAATGGTCTCCGGAAAGGTGGTGAAGGGTTTTGAGACCTTCGAAGATGAAGAAAAGGAACACATGCGCGCGATAGGCTTCGATCCGCATTTGAGACGCGGAAGTCGATCGTTGCCTGCGTCCCCATTGCAGTCTCCGAATTCGTCACCTAAAAGCAAACGCAAGCATGGTAATAAGTACTTCACCAATTCACCAGCCACTGCAGGCGCGTATGCTGACGATAAGAAACCCGGCAGTATACTTGCTGGTCTACTAGCAAAGCGGGACATGTCACGATCTGTGACTTCCATCGCCGAGGAGCAGCAGACTGTTGCGGATGCAGGTCTACGACTTTCGTTCCTGCAAGCTGGTGATACTTCCGCAGCGGGCGAAAAGAAGTCGACGGCGAAGGCCAAGCCGTCACATCTGCGTGAGATGAACTTCTGGTCGCCAACGTCGATGTAAAACATCAATACTCTTTACTTGCACTTTCTATCGAGGTGTTGATTGATTTTCTTTTCTCTTAACAAGTTTATACTCTACTATATAACGTGTTCTTCATTCGGACGAAGGACTTTACCTCTTAGACGAAGGAGCGCTGCAGATGCCTTCATCGACTTGTTACCTACATGAAACTGTTTATCTCTCGGGTCCATTGTTGATGATATTCTTTGTTTTTTAAATCGAAAATCGCGGCTGTTTTTTTTTGTAACAAATCAAATCTGGATGGTCGAGGATTATTTAAGTAACTTATTTTTGAGATTGCGGGCTATGACAACACATGTAGAGGCGGCAAGTGCGGCGGAGGAGATAACAAAGAGCAATATGCAAACGATAGGTATGAATAATGTAATTTAAGACGATGTTGTCGGACATGAGATGGAATACTTATCGGATGTTTTGTATGTTTACTCTGTTATAAACTATACTAGACTTATTTCCGAATCAAAATTATTTTGTAGAATATAAGGAAAATTACGAATTTGAGTGTCTATTGTTCATCAATTTTATTCCTAGCCTAGTGTTGACTGTTTTTGGTTGGCAGACAATTGTTTCGTTCTCCACCGTTCTGCACCGCACGCGCCAGGCGGTACTATCAATGTGTGTTACTGGCTGTCCGTTCTCTTTCCTGCTTAGTTAGTTGTGCGATGTTGTGCGGTGCACACGTGTTTTGTTAGCCAAGGATTTCGTGGTAATTTCCCGCGTTTTTGTAATAGCGCGTGGAATAATTCTGGATTCCATTGTGTTTGTGAGTTCGAATGTGTGCCGACGGCCGCCGAATATCTTTTGATGGTGAAGAATTCAAATTGGATTTAGTGTGTCCAGGTATTAAGATATTAATTTCTGGAAATAAACGACATGACCATTGTTCTCCGCGTGATATGAAAGAATATATTGATTGTGTAAGAATAATGTCGTGAGTCTCATCGACCCGACTTTTAAGTAACTTCTGAAATGGTGAACTTATTGAAAACAGTAATTAACTAGCAACTAACAATTTGTATATATGAGTTTCAATAAAATATTATTAAATATTGCATATATGAATATATTTATTCTCGTATCCTCTTTGTAGTTTCCATACATAGTGTAAATAGTTACGTTTGACTACAGGTGTTCGTATGATGCTATACGATGTTGTTGTTTTTAAAAATGTGAGAAAACCAACAACATTTATACCTGAAACGAATAAGATTCGATAAGAGAGCCGTGTGGCTCAGGTGGCATGTGCATATGCTAGCATGCTGCAGGTTCATGGATCGAATCTCAGTTGGAAAAGGCAATTTTATTAAATAATAAGAAATTTACGAAATGTGGGTTGCATACCACAAAAATTAAAGATTCAAATGTTAGAAATAAGTTGAAAAGCAGAGTACGACGAAGCAACAATAAGAATAAGTAGAAGATGGTGGAGGAGCAGCAGCAGCAGGAGAGTGAGTATAGGAGAAGTAAGAAGAGAAGAAGAAGAAAGAGTACGGGAAGAAAAGAGAATAGGGGTGACAGAATTTTTAAATTTTTTGGCACGTGTCGTTATAAGACAGTCACAGGTCGATCTCCCAGAGCGCCTCCGGCGCTCTGGTCGATCGCCCACTGCTTCGGTCCATCCATTGCTCCCGGCCCATCCTACAGCTACGATGTCTCTACGCTTCATCCCCGGAATTATCAGGCATATCAACAATTTTTATGGTGGGGGATCATCCCCAGAGAGAGGGAACTCCTTATAAGGACATCCTTTTAAGAACTTGTAAAAATATTTCTAATTTTTAAGTCGCCTCAAGAGAGGGGACACTTAAAAATATTCTTACAAGTTCTCACCTGTACCTGAAATGAAAGATGGAGTACACAAATCATACAAGATACCTTAACAATTTTTATAGTGGGGATCATCCCCCGAGTGGGAGAACTCCTTGTGGACTTGTAGAGATATTTCTAAGTGTCGCCGCTCTCAGAGCCGCCCACAACACTGAGAAATACTTTACAAGTTGTGACCTGTACCTGAAATGATAGAAGGATGGGGTGCACAAGTCATAAGATACAGCCATTGCCTTTAACATTTCTTTATTAACAAACTCAATACAATATAAGTTCATAACTTGTATGTTCAATAGTTACAAGACATATGACGTCATTTTAAAACATGTTTATGACCTGCATAGCCGCGCAAGAATATAGGGCAGCGGCACAGGTAGAGTACACAGGCCTTTGCCAAAAGGTCAAAAGGGAAGCCAGAAGAGACAAACGCAGGTGGATAGATGATATTTGCAGACAAGCAGAAGAAGCAATGCTCAACAACAACTCGAGAGAACTTTACAACCTCACAAAGAAACTGGCCAATAAGTACTCTACACGCACACACTTCATTAAGTCAAAAAACGGCCGCCTGTTAGTTGAGTCAGACAAGCAGCTCGAAAGATGGAGGGAACATTTCTCCGACATGCTCAGCGCAAACGAAACAATTAACTGGGAGCCAGAGAATAACCCAGGTAGACAACTGAACATTGACTCGAACCCGCCTTCAGTCGCGGAGATAACTGCAGCTATAAAGACGCTTAAGAACAACAAAGCAGCAGGAGCTGATAACGTTCCAGCGGAACTACTAAAGTAAACGCCACATGGATGGCAAATGAACTATACCACTGTATTAAGGAAGCATGGAACAACAACAAGATTCCGACCAAGTGGAAAGAAGGGCTAATCATCAAGCTTCCCAAAAAAGGTAACTTGACCGAGTGTAACAACTGGCGTGGCATAACGCTATTAAACACAATTAATAAGATTATCGCGAAAATCGTCCAAACAAGATTAGCGGAAACTATAGAAAACACCCTGCGCCCGAACCAAGCAGGTTTTCGGCCGAATCGCTCATGCATCGATCATATCAATACCCTTCGTATAATTATCGAGCAATCAGTAGAATGGCGATCACCACTATTCATCGCCTTCATCGACTTTGAGAAAGCATTCGACAGCCTGAACCACGACGCTTTATGGAGGATCCTTAAGTCGCGAGGTGTACCAACAAAGATAATAAGCATCCTGCAAGAACTCTACACTGATGCAAACTGCAGTGTGTTACACAACGGTGAAAAAGCGAAAGTTTTACGATACACAGAGGAGTAAAACAAGGATGTGTCATATCCCCATTACTATTTAACATCGCCTTAGACTACATACTAGCAAAGGTAGACCAGAACAGGGATGGGTTGCGCTGGACACTAACCTCGCACCTCAGCGACCTGGATTACGCCGACGACATCTGCCTGATGTCACATACGTTCGAAGGCGTGAGCCGACAGCTAACAACATTAGCAAGGGAGGCAAGTAAAATTGGCCTAAGAATAAATATTGCCAAAACAAAAGAAATGCGTATAAATACAAACAACACCTTAAAACTCCAAATAGATAATACGGAAATAGAAGAGGTCAAGGAATTCCTATATCTAGGAAGTATAATTGACATAAAAGGGGGGACCGACGCAGATATAAACAACAGAATAAAGAAAGCCCAGCAATCCTTCAGAATGCTGAGCACAGTATGGAAGTCAAGCGTCTATACACTAAGAACAAAACTGCGCATATTCCGCACAAATGTAAAATCCACCCTTTTATATGGATGCGAAACATGGAGGTCAACGAGCTCAAGCACACACAAACTCCAAACCTTCATAAACAAGTGCTTGAGAATGATCTTGCGCATATTCTGGCCAATGACAATCTCCAACGATGAGTTGCACCGTCGATGTGATGAAACTCCCATTATAAATCAAATACGCAAGAGAAAATGGGGGTGGATTGGGCACATCTTGAGAAGAGACGCCGGAGATATCGCCAGAAATGCGCTAGAATGGAACCCACAGGGGAAGAGAAGGGTTGGTAGACCGGCCAATACCTGGCGAAGATCCACAATAGAGGAGCTCCGAAACCAAAATATGGGCTGGAACGAAGCAAAGGCGGTTGCCCGAAACAGAGTCCGTTGGAGGGCGCTTAGTGAGGCTCTATGCTCCACATAGGAGCCAAGAACATTATATATATATATATATAGCCGCGCTATGCTCACGGCTGCAAAATTACAAAAGATAACACTAGAAAATAGCAAATTGCGCACTGTTTTCGCGTTACATCCCGGGAAAATTATATACAGGGTGTTACAAAAAGAAAATCAAAAATACAAGTATTATTAACTGTTTCCTCCTGGATATCTAAAAGTGATATGTGCAGGGGGAGAAACATAACAAATAATACATTTACTAATAATTATAATTTTATTTGACATCTTTTAAAGCAATACTAGGGTAAGATTTCTTGAACACACAAATTAGCAAACACCTAAAGCCGATTAGAGGCAGAATAAAGATACAAAAGCTGCAATCAGGCACAAAAAAAACGGAATCTAACCGGAGTGAATACACAGCTGATGGAACGCGATAACGTTGCAATACTTTTATTACAAAGGGGAATATATGCAACCATGTGACGACTATGCTATGTATTAAAGTGTTAACTAATTTTTCGGATCTTTTTACTTATAAGGTGATAACTCCACATTTGACTGTTAAATTCATTGAATGTTGAATAGAATATAGAATTATTGTTACATACTTTTTTACATTTTCGCAGGGAATTATATGTTATACTAAAAAAACTACAATTTCTAGCGCAACGAGTACAATTGCGTATATGCGTATACACACAACTTTCAATATAACTCGCGTCACGGAATTTTCTGGCAATAAATTTCAATACAGGGTGATATAGAATTAAATTCTGCACCTGGAAAAACTATTTCAACCTAATTTTGACACCGCGTTCGCGTGTTATAACATAAAAACTACAATTCTTAGCGCAACGAGTACTACTCGTAGTGCGTATACACACAACTTTCAATATAACTCGCGTCACGGAATTTTCTGGCAATAAATTTCAATACAGGGTGATATAGAATTAAATTCTGCATCTGGAAAAATTATTTCAACCTAATTTTGACACCGCGTTCGCGTGTTATAACATAAAAACTACAATTCTTAGCGCAACGAGTACTAAGTGCGTATACACACAACTTTCAATATAACTCGCGTCACGGAATTTTCTGGCAATAAATTTCAATACAGGGTGATATAGAATTAAATTCTGCACCTGGAAAACTTATTTCAACCTAATTTTGACACCGCGTTCGCGTGTTATAACATAAAAACTACAATTCTTAGCGCAACGAGTACTACTCGTAGTGCGTATACACACAACTTTCAATATAACTCGCGTCACGGAATTTTCTGGCAATAAATTTCAATACAGGGTGATATAGAATTAAATTCTGCACCAGGGAACATAATTTCGAATTAACTGTGATACCGCGTTCGCGTGTTATAACATAAAAACTACAATTCCTAGCGCAACGAGTACAAATGCGTATACATACAACTATCAATATAACTCGCGTTACGGAATTTTCTGGCAATAAATTTCAATACAGGGTGATACAAT